TAAAAATGTGGTGGGAAAGCAGATTATAGCAGACCAGTGTTGTAATACTGGTCAATTACAAATTTCCATGTTTCGTCAGCAGAACCACCGTATGTGGTGATTTGACCTGCCATCAACTCCATATTCTGCATAATGTTCTCGATCTAATGGGTATTAGTTATATCAGAATAACTTAATGTTTAGAATGCATAATTTATGGGTACAGTTTCCATTTCTGCAAGCGTTGCATTCGTATCTGATGAGTTCCGATCAGAGAAAGAAGTTGGCTCTTTATCCAAATCAGGATCATTGGTTTCTTTGACATAAGAGTCCAGAATTGTGGAATCCAATAAATTATGTCAAATTTTGTTTTGATTCGTCGTTGTCACCGATAATGGGAGGTAGCATTATAAGACGATTTGTTGAGTTAACAGAGAAGAGAGGTTGAATTGCATTCCAATGAAAAGTTCAGGCTCCAAATTATTTTTTCTGTCAGCAATAAACACTGAGGTGGGGTATACCAAATGAGTAACCTCGGAAGTCTGATCCAGATAGTAAGTGCGTTAACTATGATGGATTGGACTGGACATACCTTATAGGTCGTCACTGAAGACCAGTGATTATGGTGCTGCGTCAAAATCAATTTTTCTTAAATCTTCGAAAAATAAAACTCCTTTATCTTCATCTCCATCGTCGGGGTCACCAATGTGGGAGTCGTAATGATTATGACTTATATTAAATTAGAACTCCCAACATAATAAAAAATATAAATTTATTAACTGTAAAAAATATTTCGATATCAAAAATATACATGACATGTCCCATTGTTTTTTTACAAATTAAAAACAGCCTGCTTGATATCGCCACAACCCTAACATTTATAAATTTGACAAACTTTTCCTTTGCGAAGTTAACTTTCTATTGGGAATATTGTATAACATATAATTTTCATATTTTCATGTCATAGTTATAACTTTGCACAGTCGAAATGCAAATATTCAAAACCCATTTACAAAACTACACCAACAACTTTGCAAGTACATCTTTCTGATCCAAGTTTCAAATGAATGAATAAATTGAAATAATTTCTCCGAGTAATTTTCTCATTTCATAAGAAATTATTAGAACCGTCGTCAGCATATTGTGATCGTAAATAATGTCTATGACTTTTACTTTGTTGATGCGTTTTTGTGGGATGCTGTTTATTTTATCACCGCAATAAGCTGGCTGTAAAAACAGTCTATGTAATATTCTATACTCCCTTGGGGATGATTAAACATTTATTTATTAGAAAGTATAGGAGAAATTGTCTGTATTTATCGAATATTTAGGCAATCTAGAGAGAAAAGGAATTAACGCAAGGCCAGTGGCATCAACGACATCAGAATTGAGATAAAATTTTAAGTGTTCATTTTGACCAATATTTAAAATTTAGAACTAAATTATTTGCATTAAATTTTGATGAGTAATCTATCAGGATAAATATAAAATATATATCTGAAGGCAGCTTTGTAGCCAGTTTAGAATTATTTCGAGTATAGAAAGATTTCAGAATAATTAATTAATTAAATTAATTTGTGCAAGTTCTGTTTGAGATATGTTTTCGCAGAGCTGAGATATGTTTTTGTTCAAGAAGCTCTTATTGAAAATGTAGGTCAATGGTTCATTGTTGGTATTTATACATGTTTTGTTTATGATAAGGAATACACAAGGTGTCCCAGAATTCAACGTCAAGCCGAAACAGGATGATAGCTTTGGAGTGCAACTTTGAAGAGCGTTGGTGAATTGTGACCGAGAGATCAATTATCGAGAATATATCCGGCTATTAAATATCTTTTTATTACGAATATGTAGGGCAACAATTTCACCAAAGCTTTAGGTTGCACTTAGAAGCTCATAATTTCCAAACCATGTAAAATTTTTTTAACTTCCCGCAGGGAAAGTTATAGTAATCGCAAAAAAAATCGAAAATGAAAATTTTTATATATCTTTAGGTTTCAAAGGTTTCTGAACATTTTAGCATACCTGAGAAAAAAATAGATGTGCATGTGTGTGTGCGTGTGTGCGGTGCGGATACAAATTTCGTCGACGATTTCGGGAACACCGATCACCCGATTCAAATAATTCAAAAAACATTCGATTCGTATTGATAAGGAGACGTGCTGATTAGTTTTTGGCAGAGGCAAAATAGCCCTTCCGAAGATGCAGGACAAAAAGTGCCAAAAACGGTACTCAGTTTTTAAGAGAAGGGAGTGTGCGATTTCAATAATTCAAAAAACATTTTACTTGTATTGACAATGTGAAGAACTTATTACATTTTTGGAAAGGTAGGTCTATAGCGTTTTCGGAGATCTAGTACAAAAAAGTAAAGTAAATGATCATCAGTCCAAAATTTCCAAAATATTTTATAAATAAAAAAAAAAAATTTTTTTTCAAAAATGTCGTTTATTTTAAAAATTTAGAATTTCTCAAATTTCAAACAAAAAATTGAATCTTTTTAAAAATTTAAAATTTTTGGCACGGAAAGTTTCAGACACCACTAGTTTAAATCTTGATTAAAATAGTTTTAAAAACAATAGAAGATATTTTTAATCTAAATCCTATAAACTGCATTAAAATTGCACAATACAGTTACCAGCAGCAAAATTAATCCCTTTTTAAATCCCGGATAATACAGAATCATAAATAATATAGAAGCTCTGCATGTGTTTCCATAAAACCAATTTGTACTTTTAATAATTAATAGAGTTTTCAATTGTGTTTTTATGGTATAATAAGTTTTATACTGCGCAATATTTTTATATTTTCTCTTTACCGTCGACGTCTGGAAACAAATTTTATGGAATCATTATATGAAAGAATAAAACTACTAACTCTACTTAAGTTTACGACTACTTTTGTAAAGTGCTTTCGTGTTATTCAGAATGACATAAAGGGTAATGGCGTATTTAATAATAGAGAATGTGCTTGAAAAACTATAAAGATAAGGAAAATATAGTAATATGAAAATATAATATATTGTCATGAACCGTTACTGATGAATTTATTTAAATCTATTTTCTATTTGTTAATTTCATGTTCTCGAAAATTCTGGGGATTCCTGTATATTTTAGTAATATAGATCAAATGAAATATTGTAAATATTATTTATGATACAAACTAATTGAATTGGCTCTAAAATAATCAAAAAAATCGAGATTATAAAACAAAAAAATTAAATATTAATTATCAAAATAAATTTATTAATTTGAATATTGAATATTTTATTATCTTTAATAATCTGTAACACTTTTATAGAAGAACTCAGTTAATTACAAAATAAGAAAAATCTGAAATATAGTAGAATTTATGTCTAGCATCACAATCCCAAGAGATTACTTGGAATACATTTGTCAAGATCACGTCAACGAAAGAGTTTTTACTGAAGATTGATCTTCAGACAATGATCTATGTATATATTGTATACTTATGTGCTAAAACATTTTCACCATCTTGATAATAGAGTTTTCTTTATTGTTGTAATCATAAATTGTGCATTCAAAGGTTTGGATGCAATAACATAAGTTCATTTCATATTCTCTCAATTTCCATATGTACATCTGAATAAATTTATATAAATTACTATATCCATTTTCTGTTATTTCAAATCAACTTTTCCTTTAACCCGAACAAATATATTTCGCCAAGCATAAAAAACTTGTTGCGCAGGTCAATTATTTCTGGAAAACAACCCCTATATCTGTTTACGGTTATAAAAATAGAACGGCCGTATAAAAAAATACCCTTGTTGCTTTCCAACAAGAGCCCCAATTAAATACAGAAAAAACAAGAATAAATACTTGTTCGGTAAACATTATATCAATTACACACACGAGAATTTTATTGTGGAAGATAAATGACTTTTTAGTAATGATGAATAATTTATAAATGAATGGTATTGGCAAAAATAAATGGTCAAAATGAAAATATTATTTATTACAATATCAATGTAAAATTATATACTGTATTATTGATGTATTCATAATTTAATTAATTAACTTCACGTAGGGTAAGTTTAGTAATCGCAAAAAAATCGAAAATGAATTTTTTTGCATATCTTTACGTTTCAGAGGTTTCTGAACATTTTGGCATACCTTAGAAAAAATCGATGTATGTGTGTGTGTATATGTGTGTGTGCGGATACAAATTTTCGTCGACGATTTCGAGAACACAGATCAACCGATTTGAATGATTCAAAAAACATTCGATTCCCATTGATAAGGAGACGTACTGATTAGTTTTTGGCAAAGGCAGATCCAGCCGATTCGACGTTATGGAGCAAAAAGTGCCAAAAATGGTATTTCAGTTTTTGAAAGATCAGAGCGTCCGATTTGAATGATTCAAAAAATATTTTACTCGAATTGACAGAATGAAAACTGATTAAATTTTTGGAAAGGCAGGCTCAGAAGTTTTGGAAACCCAATTAAAAAAGTGAAAGAAACACTATTAGGCAGTCAAAAATGATCATTAGACATAAGCACTATGAGTTATTAGGCAGCGACACGGCGCTTACGCGCTTTGATTTATCAAATTGAAACAATTATGCGGCATTTCCTTTGAAAATAGATTCAAAACTTTCTGAAATTTCAAAATATTAAAAATAATCGAATATTTCAAAAAAGTCATTTTATTCATAAATTTCAAGATTTTCAAAAAAGTATAAACCTTTTTTAAAAAAATAATTTTCAGTCCTGGAAATCTCATTCCAACAATTTGCCTTAAGACACGATGCCATGCACCAACTAAATAAAAACAGAGAAAATTATATTTAAGTTTTTGTTAAACTTAACCCTTTCCACTCAGATGCCGCCGTTCCGTCGGCAAAATACATATAAATCTCGCATTTCGCGAGTGGAAAGGGTTAAATTATGTCAAAATTCATCGTTGACTTAAAATAGGGCTTTGTTTTTATCATCTGATCCAACTAAAATTTTATTTAATAATTTTTTTGAAATTTTCTAAATGACTAATAAATTGCTAAAATGAGTATTCAATAAATTGAATCAGACTGTTAAATTATAGATTTTAAATTATTTTTATCCGCAAATTATAAATGCAAACTTTTGTCACTATCAGCTCTACTGATTTTCTACTTTGTCATAAATCAGATATTGAATAGGTTTATGTATAAATAAGTTTTTCCTCTCGCCAAAGGCACGTGGATTATTTTTCTGTAGCATATCATATTATTTTCACAAGATCAATACAAGTTTCTAAAGTTTTTCTATCTTTTTTCTAGGTGATGCACATCATTCTCAAGTTTTACCCGATAATACCGAGTTGCTGATATTGGAACAGGTGAGGAAAAAAATTGAATAAATAAATTTATGATGTTCAGGAGTTTGTAATTTTTAACTTTCCGTAGGGTATATTATTGTATTGAAGGTGCGGGAAGTTCCAGCAATTTGCCTTAAGACACGATGCCATGCATCACTAGTTTATATTGCAAAGCTCAAATCAATTTTGTCATTTGCTAACAGATTAAGTTATTGATTAAGCTGAGTATATTATTTAATGCAATTTTGTCTTTATTCTTACAAATTTTTATAAAGTATATATAAAAATCCTTGATTGAAATATTATAAATTTTGTATATTTTTCTCGAAACGATCAGATGTCTTATATTCTTCCCTTATATTATATATCAATACTCATAAATATTTCTTTATTGCCTCAGGGAATCGAAATTCGATACTTCCACTTTCTCTCGTTTTCACATCACACCTGCCTCGGTATTCGACGACTTTTGCAGAAATGATATTTTCCAATCAAATATGCAAATCTAACTCCATTTTTTCTGTCTTTTCACGTCATTTCACTTGAGTTGTCTTTTTAAATTATATTTGACACGAGCTGTGTAAACGCAAAGCGTTTCTTGCATATTTTACTACTAAACCCATTTCACAAATTTCCAGCCACATGGAATTCGCATTCCTCTCGAATTTCGAATGGCAATTTAAATTGTTTGCGACGTTTCTGTCATGCTCTTGTAATATGTATACATATACATATACATAATATATATATATATATATATATATATTTTTGAATAGTCTTGAATTTGATGTTGATATATATGTTTAATTTGAGTTTAATAATCGGGCGTAACATCAATAAAAATAGTATGAGTTTTTTTAAAAATTTATTTATTTAAAATCCATACGTTTCGGCTAGCATCTTAGCCATCATTCAGTGGTAATCAAGTTAAAATTTTGTATCCTAATATAGCATATGAAACCATTATTAATCCATGGTATGAGTATGTGCACATTGATAAGATATATATTTTTTAACACAAACATCACAAATGGTAAAACACACTAATAATCATGATAACTTAACAAGTTGTCGAAACTATGTATTTACTCTTTGGAGTTTAGGATAGAAATCAATTTCTATCCTTTTTAAAAAAAACTCATACTATTTTTATTGATGTTACGCCCGATTATTAAACTCAAATTAAACATATATATATATATATATATATATATATATATATATTATACGGGAATGTCCCACAACCCGACGTCAACTCGAAACAAGATGACAGTATTATTGATCAAGGCTATCATAAAACAAATTAGAAAAAGAAAACTCACTTCGAAAATTATGAGCTTTCAAGTGCAACGTAGAGCTTTCATAAAATTATGACAATTTCTAGGTTATTCTGGTTAATTTTTATTATTTTTATTATGACTGAAAACTTCTCAAAATATGAATTTGAATTTTTTTAAATTCGTCAACTTTGAGAAGCTCTCCTTTAAAAAAAATACTAAAGTATCTTAGCAAGTTCCATCAAAAGTTTAATAAGGCGCATTTAATCAGGATTGTAAAACGTATTCTATTATAAAATGTTTCGAGTGAAAAAATAAAAACCTAAAAATTCCATGATCGTTGCTGCTAGTGCATTTTACTCACAATCAATTCAAAACTTTTAATTATTTGGCTTATAATTTCAAAACTACGTGAGATATTTTTTTTCTCGATATGATGAATATCACCTGATTTTGGTTTGACGTTGAGTTCTGGGACACCCTATATATATTTGTACTTAGTTTCGGAACTAAGTACGTTTCATCTTCAGGACATGATCTTGATGAGATTTAAGCAAACAATATATTAAGAAAAGTAAAAAATGGTGGATTTTTATATAAAATGAATAAAATTGTGGAAGAGATAACATTATAAAAATATGACAATTTGATCAAATTAAAAATAAAAAATTTTGGACAGATATCCTGAAGATGGAACGTACTTATTTTCGAAACATCGACTGCAAATAAATAAAGAAATGTTTTTTTAAAAAACTTTTGTTGAAGTTGTAGCATTTAGCCATATACAATGCTTTTACTGAACATTATTTATTCGTCACATACTTTTTTCGACTTTTGGTTTTACATACTTCTTTCATTTTTACACAGATACACGTCGTGTATCCTATTTAATTTAATTACAATTATACTAGCATAATCCTAATTTATCCCAAGTTATAATCAATCTTCAACGTCATGTTTACTATATTATCAAGGGGGGAGCCTACTTTAGAGGCTTAATTTTTTTTTTTGCCAAAAATGTCTTCAAAAACTAGCCAAGAATATATCCCTAAAATTGCAGAAAAAATTTCAAATTATTTAGTTACAGAAGAAATAGTGAGAAAGCGTCAAGCACATATACGAGCGGAACGAAAACTTATACGATTTTCTTGTTTTTCATTATTTGGATTATTTCTAATTGGCGAGAAAAATATGAAAAAAAACTGTATGTTCTCCCATCAAAACAAGACAGAATTGATTTTATTCAGGATTAAATTCTCTTCTAGTTGAGCCTAAAAAACCCTTAAAAAAGTTAAAATTAACCCACTTTTTAAACAATATGAAGTGAAATTTTTCATAAAAAAACATGTCTTTTCAATTGCGAAAAATTTGTGAATTTCTCACTTTTTTCTGGATTTTTTAGGTTTAACTAGAATCTATACTACCGAAAAAATAAATTTATTATGTTTTTTTTGTTTCTGATGGAAATTGTGATCTGTATCTTTACCGCCAAACGACACATGCACGCTCATGGCTCCTCAGCAAAATGCTTATACCCGACATATTATGACATATATTTTAATGCAAAAATTTGAGAAGATTGTTGATATATATAACAATAAAACCTGAAAAGTGTTTCGTTTCAATTAAATATTTATTTCCTTCCCTAAAAAATCCAAAAAAGAGCGATTTTTTGAAGCCTCTAAAGCAAACTACTCCCCGCAAGAACTCTATCCGAGAATCTCCTCGAGTTGGACATGAGTTATGTGCGTAGTATCATGCAGTAGTTCTTGTATATTGTGTTATTCATGTAGAAGTTATATACAACATTTTTAAAATTTATACGCGATATTTTTAGAATAAATTCTATGTTTTACACACCCATAAAAATATGTATATATCTTTTACATTTTCAGAGTTTCGAATGGCCTGTAGCGAGGGCGCCGGACGCCGAAGAAACGCTACGAATCGAGCTCCGTTCTCGAGGAAGATGTGGAGCAGGCAGGACCATAGGCTCCTTAGATCTAATTCCTTACCATCTCCTATTTGACAAGGATGGAGACGTTGGCAGGACGATATCAGTTTGTGATGTGCTACTGGATTCAAATCAACGACCCCTAACCGTAAGTCACATAAGACCCCTAACCGTAAGTCATTACCCATATATGGGTAACTCTTTTACAAATCGCACGGATTTTAGCACGACAAAATAAAATGTCATATTTTAGAATTATCTGAAATTTTGTACGGATATTGCAGAATTTTGCTGAAAAATTGTTTTTTACGTCAATATTTATATATGGTCATATATGGGCTTTATTCTTTCATATCTTTACAATCTTCCTAGGAAGGCTGAAGACTTCATTTACTTAGTAACTGTAATGGTCAGTTTTCAATGTCCAAATGTTACTCGACGGTTTGAAAACTACTATCCGGCATTTGGTGTACTACCACCATAGACCTTATACTACATGGACTGCTAGTCCTCATATGTTTTCAGTTGTATATAGTGCTCAAACATAGAAGAGTATGTGATGTCACATGTCTGCGCGAACATTGCCGACGACAATCGCTGACTCTTCCGATTGATCAAATGTCATATGTCATATGTTACGGGCCTAACATAGGCCTTATAATATATAAATCGATTTTAACATGTGTATTCGATTTTGTGTACATTTATTTCACAAGGGAAATATTATTATTATCATTTCTTACAAAATTGTCAGTCATCAAAATTGCCATTGCATTATTGAAATTAAACAATCACAGATAATATTTGAATTAAATTAACTATTATGATAAATAATATTAATATCCTTTCTTACAAAATTATCATCCATCACAATTGCCATTATATTATTAAAATAAAACATATGACGTAAGACATTTATTCAATCGGGAGAGTCCGCGATTGTCGGCAACGTTCGCTCAGACACGTGACGTCACAGTTCCTTCTATGTTTGAGCACTTAATTTGCGCTTTTTCATGTAGTATAAGGTCTATGACTGCCACACATCAAATACATGCAAAATGAATAAAATTTCTAGATTGATTGGCATTTCTACTGTTTCCATGATTAAAATATGACAAAAATATGCGTCAAGTTGAAATCCATATTTGAAGAGCGTCAAACTAGTTTATTGCTGCGTACTACAATATCATATACACATCAATATATTTTTTTTAAAACAAGTCAATAGTGTATTAGTTATTGAAATGCAAAATAATTAAGCACATGAAGTGTGTAGTTCAGTATGAAAAAATGCAAGTTGTTAAAAAAAATTAAATATTTTGGACAAACTAATATCAGTTCTATCACGGATTTACTAGAAACAGCAACACTAACTATTTCGTGAAAATGCTTAATAGAGTTATAAATGCTCAAATAGAATTAATTAAGCTTCAATTAGGATCAATTAGAGATGCAAATGCAATCTGTTCTATGCAAACTGAAGAATTGAAAATCAAACAGAGATAATTGGAAAAAGAGAACATAGTGTTATAAATTAATATTTATAATAATATGTGCATATATATATTATAATTTATCTAATATTTATGAATTTTAACATAACGTTACAAAGATAACAGATGCGTCTTCTTAAGAAATAAAGCCGAAACTTAATAAATTAATTTTATAATATTCTAATTTTTAGTTAGACTTATTGTAGTTTTATGCTTATGTACGTATATGTTTTGAAATCTAATACATTAATGCTTTTTGAATTCAAAATATATTGTGTATATTAACCAAAACAGGTCAATCGGAACTGAAATTTAATTTAATTGCTAGCATCCAAATAATATAAATAAATTGCCATCGGAAAACAAACCGCTAAATACGAATTGTTACCTCTAGTAAAATAAATATTTATTTCCAGATGAATTGAAGCTACATTTGAACAGAAAATCAATATTTTCGCGCTATTGTATGTAGTAAACGCAATTAAATAAAAACGATAATTACTGAAGCAAAAATGATAGACATAACAATGAATCTCTTGGGAAATTAAAGTAAATAGCTTTTATTTGACACGTGTTTTTTTAGGCTTTTATATCTTTCGAATTGGAAAACATTCAATAGGCCTTTAATATTTTAGAATGTTCATTGTCACCATGATTTGCAATATTTGAACAATTAATTATAAAGTAACGGCATGATTGATTTTTACCAAAATCTACTGAGCCCGATTCAAACCTAATGTTTCGAAGCTTTTGAACATTCAAAATTTCAGATTTATTTTTTACAAAAGAACATACAAATAATTCAGTAACAAAAAATTATCAAATCGGCAAAAAAAATTGTACATATTATATTGTGCATAATTATAATATAATAATCTACCTTTACCATGAAAGTATAAAAAATTGTTGTTTACTGTATTTTTTAATCAATTATCTGGGTAATTTATCACATTCTGTTTCATATAGTTATTTAACAATAATTTTTTGTTAAGTTATATATTTATAAATTATTTATTTCTCTGAGGGATCAGATGGCATCCGAACAAAATCATTATCCATGATACTATGATTATAAAATTAATTATCTTAATATTTCAGAATGTCATATTTCAGTAAAGTAATTAAATGCGCCAACAACTATGCACTATTAATATTCAACCTGATACGATCTTGTTATGTTAGTTTACATTTTATGTATGAACTAATATATATTCGTACAATGTATTATTAAAACAAACAGCAATTTAAATTAATGCTTTTGCTTGAAGTGGAACGTCAAGTAGAAATGTAATATTAATTTATTTGTAAAAAAGACCAACACTAAAAATTACACTCAAATCAAAGTTTTTAAAAAAAGATTATTTTTTTAAAAAAACTTTGAAAAAATTAGATTTTTGAGAAACTTTACATTTTTGAAAAAAATTGACTTTTTGGGAAAAAAAAACTTGGTAAAAAACTGTTTTTTTTATTTTGAAATATTTTAGAAATTTTGAACTTTTTTGTCGAAGAAAGATGAAATTACTCAAGAATAAATTCCTTCATCAAAAACTTAAAAGTCGAGAATTAATAAAAGCAAAAATCAAAAGTAAGACCTCAAAAATCGATTTTTTTTAATGATTGGTTTATTGATTCATTTTATTAACCTAAGATGATTCAAAATGTTTCAACATGACGATTTCTATTACAAAATTTAGGTCACATGATAAAATTTTGATAGCTTTTCAAACAGAACTTTCACGATTAAACTTTTATAGAAGTCATCAAAATCAGAAACGTGCACTAAATAAACTAAGCACTTCTGTCGTGGAGCTCATAACATTAAACAGTAAGTTTTTAGTGCTTTGAATAAAACTTGGCATAGTAAATGTCACATCCAAACCATTCAAAATCCAATTAAAAATATTTGAAATTTTTAACTGATAGTCGCGAAAAAATGATTAACGAAAGTCCTAATCGAGTTACATCGAAGAGCTTTAGAATTTTTGAAATTGATGTAGTTTTACTTTATTTTTTGAGAAAACTTAGAAAAAAAGTGAAAATTTGACAAATCTAATTTTGGTTTCAAACTTGGATTTTCTGACGAAAACCAACTTCTCCTGAAAGTTTATAAATAAAGTAATAGAAGTAACATACAATCTTCTTATTATACAATTACTAAAGCAGAAGGGCAATTTAATACAGCAAATCTTCCATTAAATGAAATTGTAATAAAAACAAAAAATGGGATATAATAAATAACCCAAGATCCTTTGCAGTGTTTGAGAGCCTACATTATAATGAATTCAAAACCTAAATCTCCTCATTGAGAATCGCTGTTTTATAATAAATCGATGGATTAAAACTCTGCCTAATTGCCCTTTCATTTAATTATAATTCAGACCTCGGAAAAGGTCGCCTGTTTTATTCTGCCCTTATTAATAAACCCAAAGCATTATTTTATTCGTATCACAAGATACCTTAACGTTACTACCTGTGTTCGGGGATTAGAAAAGTTTTTTCAGCCTTTAGGTAAAATTATTTTCCAATAAATTCCATTCACATTTATAAGCAGGGAAAACAAAGTTACACATTTACATTTAGATACCGAAAAAAGTTTGTGCTGATGTTGTTTTGGGAAGTAATTTGTATATGTGAATATTTTTTCATATTGAAAAATTATATAGGTGTATTATTTAATACTTCTCCTAAACGGTTATTTGAATTTTGATAATTCTTTTTAGAGTTTGTCAAAGGAAATTTTTAAGATTTAATTAACTATAAAACTATAGTAATGGTGTAGAAATAAATGACAAAAATTACAAAAACATACTTATCATTGTTATTGACATTTGAATCGTCATCTGCTAGAAATGTCAATTCACTTGAAATTTGAATTTAGTTGAAATTATGAGCCTAGATAATATTAGATTATTATATACAAGAAAAATGTAATGTCTACATTACATACTTATTGCCAAAAAGTAGCTGAGACCTACCAGAAATTAAAATAACACAAGATACAGTATATGTTTGGCAGATGAAATTAAATAATTCAGTTTAATAAATAACACAATAAATTTAGGCATTTAGGCAATAAGTCCAACATTGCATATATATAAACTTATGCACGTCGCATTCTTCTTTAATTTACTAAATTATTTAACAATACAGAAAAATAATTCTACTTATTGAAAAATGATGAATCAATGCTTCGAATATTTAAATTATTGATGTATTGAGCAGACAATATATAAAAGAAATGTATTATAATATACTAGATTCATAAATAATAAACTGAAAGAAAATTAAATGGGTCTGTACTGCGTTCTGGGTAATCATATAATAAATCCATTACTTTGGTTTTATCAAATGATTAAATCAAATAAAGATTATTGTAAAAATATTACGGTTGCGTGGCTACTTAGGATAAGTAAAAATATTCAGGACTGGTATTCAAATAAATCTAAATAATTATTTTAACAATTGCACGCTTTTAATAAAATTTCATCCAGCTAATTTAATTTTTAATTTTTTGAGTATTACTTTTATTTAATTTACATTATACATATTAAAACTACTAAAACATATATTTCTTAAGATAGAAGAAATATTATTTCGATAGTGAATTTCAATCTTATTTCTGTATATAATGAGTTTAATAAATAGGCAATTATGTAAAAATACTTCTAAATATTCGATATCAATATCTATTTGGAATGAAGGTGTTTTAGTTTAAAACATTAATTTACATAATAAGTTTAATACATAAATTTATGTGAATTAACATAATAAATATTAGTTATTTGTTTTAAATAAAGTTGAAAAAAAATACGCATTTTTATTAGAAATAATTTTTTTAAGTAGATTAATACTAGAAGTGAACAATTTTTTTTATTTGAATTCTGGAAAATATTCTATACATTGTTTATTAAAAATACTTGCAAATATTCGCAAAAATTGATATTTGTATTTAGAGTAATTTTAATATAAGTGAATAATTGTAATAAATCCAAGACATTAGAATTGAAATAGCACGCACTTTTATAAAACATTTATTAGAAATATTCATTTTTGTGTTTTTATTAACATGTATTAATAAACTACTAAAGCAACCACTAGAAGCAAAAAAACTTATTTGATTCACAAAAATATTTCATGAAAATACACTACAAATATTCTCAAAAATCGATATCTATTTCTATCTAAAGTGGAAGAGTTTATATTTCAATATAGGTAAACGGTATGTGCATTTTCTTTGTTGAATAAAAGAAGAAAATTCTAGGATCATGTAGCTCTCAGGAGCGAATATTGAATATCGACGCATTTTTGCGCATATTGAACAAATGAAATGCTTAATATATATATATATATATATATATATATATATATATATATATATATATATATCACACTAATGGAAACATTTTATTGTCCAGGAACACTTGATAAAAACTAGGTAACCAATGTTCCCTATATTTTGCTCTTAAATGCGCTAAAAGCATTTACGCCATTCCGTAAACTTTATGTTAAGTAAATTCCGGTAATAATAAGCTCACAATCTTCCTTTGCTCTTATATGAGTAACTATATTTTCAAAACAATATTTCGAATTAAACTTAACATTTTTCAGTCTTTAACGAACTTTAACGAAATTCTCGTGATGTCCTTGTAATTCCAGATTGAAGTTATAACGTTAATGAAAGTCGCTTAAATAAAAATTTGTTTTTTTTCCGAATAAAAATATCACAAAATACTATAAGCACACAAATATAGTGAAATACTTAGGCACCTTAATTCCAAATTAACATAGAAATATAACATTCAGAAAAAAAACGCCAACAGCTGAAAGCCACGAGAAAGAAACTGTACTGGTTGTTGAACAGAAAATCTCAACTAGGTTCATAGAATAAACTTTTGTTATACAAAATTGTACTAAAACCAATTTGGTCCTATGGAATACAGCTTTGGGGAACCAACATCGCCATAATCCAATGATTTCAAAACAAGATATTGAAATCCCAACTTGGTTCATGAAATAAACTTTTCTTATACAAAGTGGTACTAAAACCAATTTGGACCTATAGAATACAGCTTTGGGAGACGGCATGCAAATCCAACATCGTCATAATCCAAAGATTTCAAAACAGGATTTTCAAAGTAATTATGAACGCTCCCAAGTATGTCCCAAACTGGTTGATTCATACAGATATAAAAATGAACACAGTCAGGAAAGAAATTGAATAAGTTCAGTCTAAGATACAAGGAAAGAATACAGAACGATCCAAACGTCAGAAAATTCAAGAGAAAAGGGCCTCTATCTGAAATTCTGCATAAACAGTTTGATACATATTATTCTATTATTTATTTATTTTTTTATTTAAATATATAGCCCACAGATTTCTCCAAGAAGACTCAAAAATACAATGTTTATGCTCGGTGCTTGATGTAAGATCAAATTTATTTTTGCATTACTTTGAATTTTTGTAATAGTTCAACTATTAATTCATTTATATAAGCTTCATACAATCAACAACGAAACGTATTACCACTGGGTGATCTATCGACCTTTTTACCTAATATAATTATCTACCAAAATTACTGAATGTTGTTTTCTCTTTATAACCACACAATTTTACAAGCAAATAAAAATAAAGATATTATAAGCAATTTCCTATCCAAAGAAGATTTGCACTCGTGCACTCTGACCATAATATTAGTTGGTCACAAAATATTAACTAATATATTTTTTTTCCATTTTAGGCCACTGTAGAATTCGAATTGAGCTACATGAGACCTGAAGAATGTCCAACTTTTTGTGCCACCGCAGGAACGAGTGGTTCAGCTTTGTATGGAGGTTTAGATGATGACCGACAAATGCTGATGGATATCGAACAAAATATTGCCAATTTGGAGAGAAGTCTTATTCATAAAAATCCAGGTAATGATAATACTAACAGATACATTGTACTAAAATTTGGCATCAAAACAACTATTACAAAAAGTAATTAAAACCACGCATGAACAATTCAAGACCAATTAGTGGACTGTGTTCAGATCATAATTATGGTACAAAAATGTTTGAATAATCTCTTTTATGGGTTAATAAATAAAATATTTTTTATTATTTATTATGATCGATTTTATATGTACTTCATAAATTTTATATGCCCTTATGACCTTTTTCGTATCAAAAATTCATTTTTAGTATCAAAGCATGAACATTTATTTGATATATGCAAATAAAAATACCGCTCTTTGAAATAAATATACACCGATGCAGTGATGCATTGCAATTATATGGTTCTGCTCCATCGAGTTTATGCATTTTTATTGTGAGTAAATTATTATCTGCAAGTTTTGCTGTCATTTTTTCCTGCAGAATTCTACGACAGAAAATAATAAAAATGAATCAGTAATCGGAACCATAAATCTATACTGCCTGGACGTAGCTTTCCATCCACATAAACCAGTAAAACCCATAACACATTTATAAAAGAAATTATGTTCCCATACATAAATTATAACCTTTAAAAATTATTTTATTGGTTGTAAACCAGTGTTTTCCAACCTTTTTAGGCCAGACTTCAAAATTTATTACTCCCACATTCATTAGAAATATAAAGAAGAAGTTTTAGGACACACTAAAACTGTTTCAGAAGTTTAATTCTAAACTATTTTTGAACTTCTTGAAGAAAAGCTTTTGCCAGAAAATTCAACTGTTTTGTTGACGTCTCAAGTCAATCTGAATCGTTTGATACAAAATTAGAAAAGCTATACATACTTGTGTATATTTATTTTTACGTATTTTTAAGTATTTTATATAAATCATAAAGAATCATTATATTTTCAATAATTAGTTTACAGGCATTTAAATAGAAATTTTCAACTACAGACAATTTAATTATGAATGATATGAATGGATGAACTAACGTTTAAATATGAATCTGACGGCTAATTATTTTGATCAAAATAGCAATTCATTTGTAATTTAATGTGCATTATCATTATGTAAAATCATTATGTTTGCATATTAATTTTGTACTGAAGGTCTATACTAGTGGTTCCCAAAGTGGGCGCCAGCGGCCCCCACATATTAAAGCGGGTCGATTTATATAGGTCAAAAAAAGTCGCTTTGGCACATATGATTTTCAAATACTGGGGATCAAAATAAGATACTTTGCTGAAGAAACCATACCTCTCAAATGAATTTTAATGTCCCGTGCATTAACCTAAAAATAAGGGTTAAAATTTGAAAAATTCCATTTTGACTCATTCAGAGTGCCCCAATCGCGTCCAAATAAATGACCTACCCCCATTAACTTTGGAAGGCCGACCCACCCATGCCTGTGGTCTACCCCCTGAGATTTCCCTTGAAAGGTTTTTCAAATTTTAATCCTTATTTTTGAGTCAATGCACGGAACAACAGAGTAGACAATTATGAATATAAAATCTTTATATTTCAATTATTATTTTATTTCAGGAAGCATTAAGGAAAAATCGTCAAATAAATCAGGATATACTCGTTTGCTTCGTCGAGGTGTTTCTCTCAATAGTGCAACATTACCAGATGCAGTCGACGAACCTGCAACCGCCGTAAGTTGGAACTTTCAAAATAATAAAGATTAAATAAACGAACATAAAATGTTATAAGAATCATCATCATTTTATATTAAATTTAATCTTGAAAAATATAAATTATAAAGGACATTGCAATTTGATTTTGTATTAACACTGTTTGGTAATTTAAAAAAAAAATGGTTCTATATAGAATATTAGGTTCAAATACAAAGGAACTAAAATTTCTAATTTCTGAATGTATATTTATGTATGTATATATACGCGGATTAAAAATATAAATAAAGTATATTTACTTCTGCATCATTAATATATTAATATTTCCATTCGCCCGTACAGTAAATAATATATTCAGAAGCCACGTCCTTTATTCAGCATCATAAATTTATTCTGTTTGCAAAGCTCGAGCTTTGCGAGGTTACTCAGACCGATGTGTATTTATATTTTAGAAAAGGAGCTTTTGGCTAAACACAAATTTATAAATATTGAATTCGAAATATTTTTAAAGTAATTATGAACTAGATCACACTAGTATCACTAGATGATCACACTGAACTAGATTTATTTAATTCACTCGGTAATGTTCGGTTTATTATTATATTATTATGTGTAAAACGCCTGATTGTATAGCAAACACATACAACTCATACAAAGATAGACCCGTAACACAGCATTACCAGAAGATTTTTATTTTAACCGAGAATTGGCCCGATAATGTCCTACGTTACTATTTTATTACAGACGAACATTCTAACTAGTGGTGTATGGGATCGTGCCTTAAGGCAAATTGCTGCAACTTTCCGTACCAAAAATTAATTTCTTTAAAAATGATTAAATTTTTTTAAGCCTTGAAAATTTAGATTTTTAGAAATTAATGATTTTTGAAAAAAATGAATTTTTGTGTAATGTAAAGAATACTGATATCCGCACACACACGCTATTTTTTCTAAGGTATGCCAAATTGTTCAGAAACCTTTGAAACCTTTTTGCGATTACTATAACTTACTCTAAGGGAAGTTTGTAAAATATAATAGGCTTAGAAAAAGAAGTTTCATTATAAGTATTTATAAAATTTTGGAAAATTGTACGGATCCCTGTTACCGGATATTTGAAAAACGCAATGATTAGTGAAAGCGAAAACTTCATTTTGAAAACAGTTAATCATTTTATTATCACAATTTCAAAAAGTCTTAAATATCAATTTCTGACGTAACTAAAGTTCATGCAACTTTAATATATGTGTAATAAAGACAAACATTGGCAAGTAAATATAATAAATTTTAAAATAAATTATCCAATTTATATTTATGAAATATACACCAGCTCTCACACTTATTTTCTGTTTATGTCCGCGTGCGTAATGTCACATTAATTCCGCTTTCAAATCTACAGTATTATTAATTTATAATACACGGGCAGTAAAATCTGCGTTGGAAATTTACCTTGGGTCTGAATTAGGAGTAAAATGTATAATAATCCTCTTATCGATGATATCTGATATATTGCAGGTTTATATAGAATATTCAGAGAGATTGTTATATTATGTATTCTGAATAGATATCGATGTGAGGGAAACTTATTATGAAAGGGTGTATGGATCTATAACCGTAAAATGCTTACAAGCAATACGTGAAAAAATCGCGGAATCTGAACCAGATCTGATTATCCGATTTTTATTTATAATCTTACTATTTTATTTATAACCTATTCATAATCAATATCTTCTCCTTCCAGTTCAAAAAAAAATCTTCTGGCCTCCGAGCAATGCGTGGTCTAATTCGAGGTTTGGGTAAACAACGTCCTAGTATGGGTGGCACCAGTAGTGATGAAGAAAGTCAACAACAATTAATGGCAGATGAACCAACAAATGCTAATATTTCATCAGGAGCTGCTACTGATGATCACATTAGTAGTCGAGCTTCCTCGCAAAGTGACAATGAGAGCATTGGGTCACCTGGGGGACTAAGTTCTAGCAGAAGTAGAAGGTAAGGGTCATAAACACACAAACCAAGCCCATATTAATAGTCAGAAATTTAAAAATATTGTAAGAGATCAATTTGATCTCAATAAAGTCAGTTTTAAACTACGCATTTCTGGAATATTCCTTAAGCTTTTAAAATCAAATTTTATGATTTTTCAAGGTTACGAATGGAATCCAATACAGCAACGACGGCAAGATCTGCAGCCCTAAAAGCTCAGGATTTTCAAGTTTGTGTAACCGTTATCGAAGCCAGACAACTTGCTGGACTTAACATGGATCCTGTTGTATGCGTACAAGTTGGTGATCACAAAAAGTACACCAGTGTCAAAGAAAGCACCAATTGCCCTTATTATAACGAGGTAGGATTCCGAAAATAGAATGAATGTCGAAAATAAAATTTTATTTTTTTTTTGTTTCAGTACTTCGTTTTCGATTTTCATATGCCTCCAGTTATGCTGTTTGATAAAATTATCACTTTATCGGTAAGTTGAAAATTTGTTTACTTCATTAACTAAAGCAAGTTCGCGCTCCATAACTCATTAGTCATCTAGTAAACTCCATATTTTTAACTTCCCGAAGGAGTTTGTTCTCATGAAAAAAAAAAAATTGCTATTTTCATGTTTTCTCGACGTTTCAAACAATTCTGAATCAAATGAGACCAAACTTGGAAAACGTATTTGTGTGTGTGTGTGTGTATATATATGAACAGATTTTTGACGAAAATCGACTTTTTCTCAAAAACGGCTGGACCGATTTCAAAATTTTAAAACCCATTCAATGTATTCGATGTATCTCAATGAGGACTATCGTTTGGCAGTTTTGTGCAACGATCGGCCGAGCCGTTTCTTTATAGCAGAAAAATGAAAAAAAATTCGTCCACGTTTCAGCCCGCAATTCTGAATCGATTTTCAAAATGCAAAAACAATTCGAGAGGATGGGAATCCACCTGATTAGTTTTTGGTAAAGATTCGCTGGCATAATTTCTTGTAGTTAACTGTAATTTTTTCGACGATTTTCGTAAATTTTTAAAATGTCTTATAGCACATACTGAAATATTATGGCCCTACGAAAAGTAGTTTAATTTTAAAAAATCATCAGTGTCAAAAGTTGCTTTTATGATATGATAAGTCTGTCAATCAAGTTAATTAGAAATCTCTTTCGAATTAGCAAGAAAGTAAATAAACGGTCTACAAAACTTCTCTAGTTTTGTTAAAAATGTTACAATTCATTTAAATCAATAAATAATATCTAGAATCGAACTACGTCTATGATTTACGTAATCGTGACAGCATTTTCTGATAGTAGATGCTTAATATTTCACAAAATAATTCATAAAGTTCATTAAAAAAATATTTCGACGTTTTTTTATGAAAATTAACATAGCGATAAAATTTCATGCACTAAACAGTCTTGCTAGAATTGGTTGAATTATATAAATCAATTTTAGAATAAGCTACAATTTTAGGATGTACAAGCACCATAATTAATGCACCATAATTAATATAATAATTACAAATAACTTAAATGTGTTTGATTTTGAATAAATTCAATTGGAAATCGCAATGTTTAGATTTAATTGAAAGTGAAAACTTTTTTTTCGAAATGAACAGTTGAAAATTTTATCTAAATATCTTTATCTCAATTTCGGTTGATCAAGTCAATATCGGGAAGTTTTTGCGACTTGCCTTGAGGAAAAACGCCACTTTCAACTAGTTGACTTAGATTTTTCGACTTCCTTTATTAATTATTTCTATCACTTTAAAAACGAAATGCCAACATTTTCCACTTATACGTACGAGATGCAAAAATTCACTTTATTCATTTTGAAAATAGTCGCCGTTCTGGTAATAAGTGGGCGATTGTAATTCATTCTGTCAAAGGCGACGTGACGCGCCTGCTGCGAACGCTTAGAAATAACCGCACAATAAAAGCGAACGAATAAAAGAAAAAACCACCAAGCAATTATTTTGCAAAAGAAGATCCATTATCTCCTCCTAAAAGGAACAACAATGGGAACTATATACTATACAACTGTATAGCATACCATATACCTACTTGAACAAATGACACAGATTTTTTCATTTAGACATTTAGAACAATGAGTTCCACCGCTCGTTCAATATATTTTTGTCCGTAATTCCAGCATTGAAAATTCTCCAATATAGGGCCAATCTATTTTGCGGTTATTTGAGACAAAATGACGAGGATATCTAAGGTTTTCAATTCTGATAATGAATTTAACCCTTTACTTTAACCCTTTCGGTACGCGTGGTACACATATGTAGCACCAAGTTTGAAAATTTCTAGACAATTGAATTTATGTATGAAAGCAATGCAATGTATGCAACGACATAATGTAAGTGTTTAGCTGTGATATACAACATATATGGTTCATAAAACAGCATTTAGTTTAGAGCCAGTTGCGTTTTGTTGTTTGTTCACCCAGACCACGTTGCAAATATTATACTATTTTCAATAAAATATATAAACTACTTGCGTTTTTGGTGATTGTCAGTTATTATAGTGTACAAGAAAACCCCAGCAAATATAACTTTGTGTCACAGACACCACTAGTCTAATTTATTACTAAATTACACTAGTGGTACACATAGATACCAGTAAAAAAAATTGTATTGTCTTTAAAGGACAGTTGGTCCAAATGTGAACCAACAAAAATTACGGACGGTACAATCGTTAACCAGCCTCACTAGCCGCCCTCTATTATTTAAAATTGATTTTTTGATTTTTATATCAATATATATCACACATTAAAAATATTACTCAAACCGATTTTTGAATTCCGACCCGAAAATGCTTGAACGCTATAGAATATATTTTGAGCGAAATCGCGATACCAAAAGTAATTTTAAAAGTTAATACACAGAGTATGAAAAAAGTTGAACAAAAAGAAAAATCACACTAAATTGTGAAAACTGTGAAATTGTGAATATCACACAAAGTATGATATTATATATTATCAAAACGGGTGATGTATGGCATCGTGCTAACAGTCCTAAAAAAATTGTCTCGCGTTGTTTGGTAATTATGAACAACAAATTTTCAGTTAATGTGGTTAATATTTATTATTTTTGCTCATTTAAATTCTGGTTTCGCTTCCAAAGGTTAAAAACTAACCACAATAATCAAAAGTGGCCATGCACTGCACTCAAAAACTCAGTTATTTATCTTTGTCATCAGGCAGTTTATTGTACGTGATATAGAAAAACATTTTGAGAATAATTTTTGAGCGTTTCCTTTAGTTTCTCATTTATTTATTGTACCGGAATATGGTAATTTTTGAAATATTGTAAAATGTACAATGTTACAAATTATCACTTGAAATTACATTAACTATTTTTTTGAGCTCAAATTAACTTTTACTCGATGCATCATCATTTAAAAATGCGCGCCAATGACTTCAAATGAAAAACGAAATGAAACGAAAGACCAACATATTGATGAAAAACGGCTGGACTGATTTTTTTTCGTTTTTCCACAAAAATTCAAAAATGTCATATGTAAATAATTTTAACTCGTAAATTGTATATAAATCTCAATGAATCTGTTAATGATGAATTAAAAAAGACAACGATTTTCCTAAGTCAGTCCAAACTTTTGCAGGGTAGTGTATATATATATATATATATATATATATATATATATAATAAGTTACACATTTCGTATAAGATAATTCATTTCAGGTATTGCAGACACGAAGCTTCCTACGTGCGAACAGATTACTCGGAAGTTTCAAATTAGACGTGGCTACCATATGGTCACAGCCAGGTACGAATTAGGTAATTTTATGTTATTTATGTGGAACGTTATTAATTATTACATATCTTGACATTTTTAAGAAAATAGAATAAGTAGAAAATATTCTCTTTCTCTTGCGTTGTTACATTTGTTACTGATGTGGATATACAATCAGGGTTAAATAATGGACCAATTCTGGTAATGTAATAATAATGTGGCAAGGCTATGGCATGAAGAACTTTCCATACTAAATATTGACAAAAGCCATGTGATTGCTGTGTAGTCAGGCGCTTTTCTCTGGCTGTTAAATAGAAAATCTAACCTATAAACCGCACAAATGTCAAAAAAAACGATCTTAGATAACATGGTCGTTCTGACCCAGCTTCATAACATACACGTAACGTTGCAGTATATGTGTAAAACTCCTGAATGCACAGCAAATACTTGACATTTTCACAGTATTCAGTATGATTCAGTAGCATAATGTATGAAAGTTGGAGCCTAACATGGCCTTGCCATAACATTTGTCTGTTTGGGCAGAATCGGCCCATCAGTTTTTTTCTGATTTTGTCACCCCTGTATTTCATTTCCGTGTTTCAACAGATGACTTGATTTTTTAATCAAATATGCTTGTAATTGAATCCACTACATGTCAACACGAATCCCTAATCTAATTTTCAAAATGGAATCATAAAATTCTGACAAAATATGTTGGAGCAGAAGCGAATTTTCTTTCGGAGTATATTTCCATTTGTTATCATAACAGAAAACAAGGGTTTTGATCTTTTTGCATTATTTATTGGCAACCGAAGTTGTAATATAAACTCAGAGCTGTAAAGGTGATTTTATGTCTAAAAATAAAAACTTTAATAGAATGAAACAGAATACATCAGATAGTTTACTAATATTTAGTAAACTATTTGAAAAATGTTATTTAATTACAAACTATTATTTAGATTTATTGGATAGTTGATTAAAAAGAGTAGTATAAAAAATAATTTTTTTCAAAAAGGTCTATTTTTTACAAAAAAAAAAAAATCTCAAAAATATATTTTTTCTTCAAAAAAAAATTAATTTTTGATACGGGAAGTTCCAGCATATAGCAGTAGCTATGCATCACTAGTTTATGTAATAAGGATAAAGAAAGTATTAGATATTATTTCAATATATAAATTTAAAAATTACTATCTAAATATCCTTTTCATACTAGAAATTCACAAATATATGGAAAAGTTAATAGAACTTTTACAATTATTATGTTTTTTTATATTCTCCACTTTTAGAAAATCTTCTGTAACACACGAGAAAAATATATGTTTGATTTTTATATTTAATTCTGCATATATTTATGTTTTAAATTCTATATCAAAAACAAATAATATGTGCAGTTAAATAGTTGTTGAAAACTTCTATAACATGTGAGCAAAACATGTTTTACATTTTATATCATTTTAAAGAAAAGTAATAAACATAGTTGAAAAGTGGTTGAACTTTGTAAAGTTGTATACTCTTAAGTTCTATACTATACTCAAACCCTTTCAAAAAGTTAACACGAAGTGATTTGCTCTAATTTATTTATTCATGAAAACCTTGTGTGAAGTTTATATAAGAACGATGTGCTTTTTCAAGAATTTTGCAACTTCGGAACCGCGATAATAAAGAATTCATATATCTAGAAATATTTTATATGTGTACTTTGAAAGAAATGCGATGAAGTAATACTTTTGCGAAAGACTTATTCTGTGTTGAGTTCTTAGTTAGAAAATATATTATACGTAACGTATTATTCTTAAATATTTAACTTCCTGAAAAATAAGTTTGTGTTTTCGCCAGAAAATCCGATTTTCTAATTTCATGTTTTCTCGGCGTTGAGTATGTTGATCCAAAATTTACAAAAATTTGCATTTGATGAAAATTTCTAATTATCGATTTGTGTATTCCATATATAATAGATTAAAAATTCTCAATCTATCAATTTAGATAAAAAAACGATTACACAGGCGTATAGAGATGTACAGTACCCTGAAGATATTAATTAATATAGAATAACTTTACTGAGTTTCAACCACTTTCAAAGAGGGTTTATGTAGTTTATACACCAGTTTCCCATACATGGCTTGTTTAACATTTTGATGAGATACATACGACTACGCTTTTGATGTAACACCAAAAGGGTTAATATAATGTAAATAATCAAATTTTACACTTATGTAAGGTTATATTTAACTTAAACAATAGAAACAAATATTAGGTTTTTGTATCTTAAAATCTGGAAATATCTTAAAATCTTCTTTGGCTTTAACTTCTAAAATCAATAATGAATAAAAGTAAAAAAAAATCCAGTAGAATTAATAATAAATTACCATACGGTAATATTATATACATTATAGTAGTATACAAAATGAAAGTAAATAATTTATTAGTAGTATTCTAAATGATAGTGAATTATCTAAAATTAGTAATTTCAGAGTGAATTAGTGGTGTATGGCATTGTGCCTTAAGGCAAATTGCTGGAACTTCTCGTACCGTAATGACTTATTCGCGGAATATTCAATCTAATAGATAAATAAATTCATAAATACTGTGATTTCCATTATTCTTATTTTATAGACAAAATATAAGAGCTCATGAATCGGACGAATACGTTCAAAATTCCATTAAATTCAAAATAAATTTTGAACAAATTTTTTCTCCCCCAAAATTAATCGTTCGTCAACATAAAGCAGCAAGTTTTTTGAATCATTCAAATGGGATGCTTAGTTCTCCCAAAAACTGCAATTTTTTGCACATTTAGCACCGAATCTCTAAAACGGCTGAACCTATCTTTACCAAAAACTAATCATCACTCCTCCCCATCATTACAAATTGAATGTTTTTTGGACCATCCAAATCGGATGCTCCGTTTCCTCAAAAACACGATTTCTATTTTCTGCACTCTTTGCACCGTATCTCCGAAACGGCTGGACCTGTCTTTGTCAAAAACTAATTAGCACATCTCCCTATCGATAGAAATCCAATGTTTTTGAACCATTCAAATCGGTTGATCCGTGCGCCTTAAAACGTGGATTACGTGAAAAATGGTATCCATACATACATACGCACACACATATTCCATTTTTTCTTAGGTATGCCAAAATGTTCAGAAACCTTCAAAACGTGAAGACATGCAAAAATGTTCAATTTCGATTTTTGGACGATTACTATAACTCACCCTACAAGAAGTTCAATTCAATTCTAGTATAGAAATGCAATTTTTCATTTTGTTTTATAATTTGTGTGCCAATAAAAAACAGAAGTATTAAAGATTACTTTAACAAAGAAAACGCAAACTTCCCACTATCAATATAAATAAGAATTTATTAACTATCAATCATAGAATGAAGATAACATATAAATAAGTGTATTTTTTCATTTTCAGATCATCAATTTTATCACAAATGGGCCCTTCTGACAGATCCGGATGATATAGCTGGAGGGCCTAAAGGGTACCTAAAATGTGACGTCAGTATTATTGGAAAAGGCGACTCGGTTAAAGTTCCTCCAAAAAGCGACAAGGAAGATGACGATATTGAAGCGTAAGATTTAAAAAAAAATTAGTATTTTAAATAAACTGATACTAAATTTTTATTAGTTAAAATCTTAAAACCTGCAACGTCAATTAAATTAAAAGTACCAAACTACGAAATCGATCTTTAGAATTGTACATGGGCGCCATTTATATGTGGTCAATGGCAATATTGAATAACTTTATTTATTTATTAGTGACAATCAGAAAAATACAACAGTTTTATAGAAGTCATTGTGATGAATTATAATGTCAAGTAAAAATCTCTCCATTGAGAAGAATTATTTTAAATGATTAGGTCTTCAGGCCATTTCTTTTTAGGCGCCTTGTTGGGATGTGGTTAATGTTGAATAACTTGAACAATTTTTAATGAATTTTGATAAACTTTTTTTTATTATCAAATTTAAAGCCTTACAATTTTTTCCAACGAAACTTCGCTCTTTTTTCGGCATTTTCCATGGTATTATTTCCATGGTATAGTTTCCTCTATTATGAGGATGGCAGTGTAATATTATTTTGCAAGAAATCCAAAGTTTTAACAATACGAGTAAATCAAATTATTAGCATATTACATTATTCCACCATCTGGAAAAACTAACGAGATGTAAAAAATAAGTTTTTCAAACAAAGAAACTAAGAAAAAAACTAAGCAAACGAAGCATACATTAATTAGCCAGGGTAAAATTATTCTACAAACTTCGTTTTCCTCGAACCCGTCCAATTATTTTCATTTCCAAGTCGATACACCGCGGAAAAGAAATTTTCTCAAACGTCTAATGTCAATAGAGCGAAGCAAATGGATTGGGGTAAATCACAGGGTTCTTATGTAAAAACAAACAGAAAATAAGGTAGAAACTCGTAGAACACGTGCAATTTAATCCAGATAAGAGTTTTATGTATTCGACGATGAAAAGAGGTTTTGCGCTATCATCGTCCTATATCTTAAATGTTTACAGGAGCGAATAAACAATGTAAAGGCTTTGATGTAAATAAGTAAATATAGTTATAGTTATCTAACAAAATATGCTTTTTGTACATAAAAGGATATGAAGTTTGATCTACAGTTTTCTATCTAGATGCAAAACTATATGCTGCATTTGGATTTCAGATTCCCACCTACATCTAGATTTATGATACTGCCCTTTACATTCACATTTTACCATATTTGTCTAGGGCTACATTTTCGCCTGTATGTCCACATCAATATTGCATTAATAAAAAACTAGTGGTATATGGCATTGTGTCTTGAGACAAATTGCTGGAACTTCCCGTACCGTAATTAAACATTCAAAGAATAAAAATAATCAGTCAACAAAAATGTCTATGAATAAATACCATAGAATCAAAATAGAATTTTTATTATTTGTTCCTTGTGGACAAAATGTGAAAACTTATTTGATAGACGACGTTGTTTATATATGTTTGAATGAAATATATATAAATAAAATCTAATTAAGCGGACTTATTGTTTTTATTATTGTTTTATTTTTATTGTTTAATTTATTTCAAATACATCAATTTTTCATTCGCGGAATATATATGGACTGAGTTAACAATTTTAAATAGTTCATGTAGTATCAACTATACAGACATAGCAAGTATTTAAAAAAAAGTAAACAAAAAAAAACGGACGTAGGGATTCGAACCCTACGTCATTTTGACTCAGTTTTGACTTTCTTATCTACTAACGCAAATGAAAATTGCACTGACGCGCCAACCAACTCAGCTGTAACGACATGCACAATGCTATGAGCGGATATCTAGGATCTAATCGGAATTTCTGCACTTTTTGCTCTATATATTCGAAACGGCTGGACCTGCCTATACCAAAAACTAATCAGTACGTTTCCATATCAAGACGAATCGAATGTTTTTTGAATCATTCAAATCGACCGATTTGTTCTCTCAGAACCTGCCATTTTTTGTACTTTTTGCTCCATATCTTCGAAACGGCTACAAATGTATATCCTTAAACAAATTTTATGACTAAACCTCTTTTCACAATTGGAATAAATCGGAAAAAACTGATTTTCGTCGAAAAATTTAAGATGCTGTTATTTATATGATGATAGGTTTCTTATGACGTTAGAAAGCTGCTATAAAAATATTTCGATCGTAGTTCAAATAGTTTTTGAGATTTATACGCATTTGAAGTATGCAAGAAAGTAGCAAATGTTTTTTAGCAAATATCTCGAGAACGGTGAGTGCTGATATTTCATTCACAGACATCATAGCCCTATAAAATTTTCTAAGTTATAGGCGTTTAAACGTTAAAAAACTTTTAAATAGTTTTTCGCGAATATCTCGCGAACTGTGGGAGGTATAAAAATTCTTGACCTGGGTTAAAGATCTATTGATTTAGAATATTTCAACCAGAAGTCCTATGATGCACCAAAATCTATCACAATGCCAAGTTTCATCTAAATCCAAGACGAGCAACAGAAGAATTCTCCTTGTTAGCATTTATATTATTATATAATTAATTTTTTTTTCAGGAATCTGCTGTTACCAGATGGTGTTCCAGTGGACAGACAAAGAGCTCGGTTTATAGTTCGTGTATACAGGGCGGACGGATTGCCAAAAATGAATTCTTCAGTCATTGCTAATATGAAAAGGGCCTTAACTGGTGAACAGAGGGACCTGGTTGACCCTTATGTACAGATCTCGTTTGCTGGACAAACGGTAATAAAAATATATCAATAGATTTTAATTTGAAGTTACATTATAAAATTTGTACTAAATGAATGCCAATTAAATGAAATAGTATGCCAATTAGTAAACGATACACGTATCAACCAAGTATTTGAATATATTCGTATTTAATTTAATTAATACTAACCAATTTTATTTTTTGAACTTAATTTTGAAAAAATATGGTTATTCATAGTACTTGGCATGTATTGATGAAAGTATTTCATCTTACGTGAAGATACGAGAAAATTCGTAAGTAAATAAGTAAAGATAGTAGGTGAATAGTTTTAATTGAATTTGGTCTTCAACAAAAGCATTAACAGTTTTAATCCTGCTCCGAGCAAACTTTACGAAAATTTACATACGGATTTAGGCTTTGCTTCTACACGTGCAATATCATGTTAGTTCTAATAAGCTATAATAAGCTTTCACGAAACTCGTCTTAAATTAATATTTGGACTGCAATTAAGCTTATAATACTATACAGAATATACTAAGAGTATTTTAATAAATATTAGCTCAAAACTAGCCTCCTAAGCAATTTGGGAAAGAATTTGAGAAAGAACAAGTGGGTCGCATGGCATCGTGCCTTAAGGCAAATTGCTCGAACTTCCCGTACCAATTTTTTTTTTTTAAAAAGATTAACATTTTTGAAAAAAATTACTCTGAAAAAATTTGATTTTTGAGAAACTATAAATTTTTGACAAAAATTTACTTTTTGAAAAAAAAGACTATTTGATCAAAGCAATCGTACTGCTTTAACTGCATAAAGACGAAATATCGAAGCGCGTAAGCGCCGCGCCGCTGTCTAACGGATAAGCATTGGTACGGAACCCCCTACGGGAAGTTAACAAGTTTGTACATCCAAATTTGGTTTATACGAATGATTTAAAATGATGCAAAAAATAAATGCAAATAGGATTAATTAGAATAGGATTAACTTATAATCTGAATTCCTCATTTAAAATTTCTAGGATGTGCGAAGAAAAATTTTGAAAATAATTCTCTCAGTAGAAGATAATGACGAAACTCGAAACATATATATTTAATTGTTGAAAATGTTTGCATCCTCTGGCAAACAGAAGTAAAAAAAAAAATTATAATGTCTTTTTCTAGGGTAAGACAAGTGTAAAGAAAAATAGTTATGCTCCAGTATGGAACGAACAATTGGTATTTTCCGAAATGTTTCCTCCCTTATGTCAAAGAATCAAAATTCAACTCAGAGATGCAGATCCTCTAAAACCAGCAGTAATTGGCACACATTTTGTAGATTTGAAAGCCATTTCCAACGATGGAGATAAAGGTAAATCACATATATTTTTTAATTATAAAAGACAACAGAATAATAAAAGTATTTTATCTAAATCTACTACTTCGTACTTTTTTATTTCTAATTCCCAAGTAACTATTATAGCAATATTGTTGATATAATTACAAGCAGGCTTTTTGCCTACATTCGGACCAGCCTTTATTCATGTCTATGGTTCCACAAGGGACTATAGTCTCATAGACCAACATTCAGGTCTTAATACTGGATTAGGAGAAGGTGTCTCTTATAGAGCCAGGTAATAAAAAATTAATAATATAATTACATAGAAATAAATCCAGTTTGCACATTCATCTCTGTATTTCAAAAAGACAATGTAAAGGTAAAGGCTTTGTCATTGATCATTACTCTAACTCTAGATGTCTAGATTTATATAAATATTCTGCGTAGATATTTTTCTAATTTTTTGTAAAAAAAAGTTTAATTTATTTTTTTCCCAGATTATTGATAGCAATTCGCACGGAAATAACCGACAACATGGATATGGCTCCAGCTGAAGTCGAATTGGAGCCAACGTATCCTATCACAGAAACATCTTATGGAAGCTGTGAAGAATTTTTTCTATTTTCCACTATTTTGGACGCATCTATGATGGACCGAAGATTAGGAGACAAACCTGTATTTTTCGAATTGAGTATAGGAAATGCTGGAAACGCCATCGATGGTCATAATGAATCTTCTAAGGAAAATTATTCGAGCGAAACTGACGAACTAGGTAAATAACAGTTATGAAACTAAATTGAAATTACTGAGACTTCTGTGAACACTATGTATATTTTTTTCTAAATTAGAAAGTGTGGTGGTCGAAAGTGCATCTTGGCAAAGTACGACCCCACCTTGTAAACCGATGACCCACGATAGAACCTATTACTTTTTACCTTACTGGGATAATAAACCTTGCATGCATGTTAGATCAACTTGGCCAGACTACAGGAGAAGAATGTACAACTCCAATATGATTGCCAGACTTGCAGACAAATTGGTATTTATCTAAATAATAACACTGATTGTGAGATTAAGATCCTCTTTTACATGTTGAGTTTTCAATTGTTCAGGAAGAGGGTTTGAACGAAGCCCAGCAGATAATGGAATTTGAAAGTTCAGGAGCTGAAGCAAAACTTCGAGAAGTTTTAGAGCAGTTAGCGTCAGGTTGTGCAAAATATGTGACAATCAGCAGAAGTTCAAGTACTGGGCCAGGCACTGGAAAGACTAAATTGGACAAGGAGAGGATGAAGCTATGCCAACGTGAGATTGTATGTCAATTTAGTATAAATCATATTTAAATATCAATTGTTGATTACTTGATTTTTACCTTCGAATACTTTTTTATATGTACCTGTAATTTGCTGATTATTTTCGCAAAAAGATGATTTTGAAGGATAACAAAACGAATAATTATAATTATTACTTCTTTTCCTTTGTAGGAAAGCATTGGAAATCTATCCCGAAACCTCCGGGCATTGGTGACAAAAAATTCTTTAAAAGAACGATTCAAAACTGCTCAATCATATTTGCAGAAGATGAAGTTTCTAATAGAAGACGTAAGTTATTTATTTAATTCTTATTTTTTGAATGATTCTTAATTATTTTATATTTAGCCTCAACATGCTCTGCCCGATGTTTTTATTTGGGTAATCAGCGGTGGCAAACGTGTTGCTTACCAAAGAATATCAGCTCGTGATATCATTTATTCAATTGTGGAAGAAGAGTGTGGTTCTCAGTGCGGAAAAGTTCAGACAATATTTCTTAAGGTATACCAAATTTTAAAAAAATATTGATAAACCAATGAGTCAATAATTCAATTTCAATTACAATTCCTTCCCAGTTGCCGGGTAAAAAAGGTATGGGACCAAGTGGCTGGACAATACAAACAAAACTCCAAATTTATTTATGGTTAGGAATGCTAAAACATAAGAAGGCTTTCGTCGATGGAATACCTAAGGGTTACGAATTATCACATGAAATTCGCAATGCAGAAAGACCTCGTGCTTTACCACCTTCGACAATCCATTATGTTCATAAATATGTAAGTGATAATGGAAATCAAAAAAAAAATTAACACTTTATTACAAGAAAACAGCCCGGCCCTTCTTTACCAGAAACTAATTAGCACGATTCCTAACCAATATCCTTCGAACGGTTCTTGAATTGTCAAAATCGATTCAGAATTGCGGGCTAAAACATGGACGGAAAGCTTTACACTGTTCTACGATTTACAAAGAAACGGCTTGGCTGATCGTCGCGCAAAATTGATAAACGCTAGTCCTCATCGAGATACATCGAATTAGTTCTACATTTTTGAAATCGGTCTAGCCGTTTTTGAGAAAACATCGATTTACGACATAAAATCTGTTCACACACACACACATACACACACATACTTTTTCCAAATTTGGTCTCATTCGATTCAGAATGGCTTGAAACATCGAGTAAACATAAAATTAGCAAATTGTATTTTTTGATGAAAACAAACTTCTCCTTCGGGAAGTTAAAAAACATATACATCGCTATAAAGAGTCATTGTCTGACTTCAATATTAAGCTGCATTTATTTTATTACTACCATTACTAATAATCAATAATTATCCAGGTTTTCCAATTAAGAGCGCATATTTACCAAGCCCGATCCCTGATTGGTTCAGATGCTTCAGGATTATCAGATCCATTCGCTCGGATAATTGTTGGAGAATTTTGTAAAACCACCCAAGTCATAGACGAAACCCTAAGTCCAACCTGGGATGAGCTACTAATATTTGATGACATTCTGTTATACGGGACCAGAGATGAGATCCAAAAGGATCCTATCACCATCGTCATCGAAATATTTGATCAGGACAAAGTTGGAAAATCTGAATTTATTGGGAGAACTCTTGCAAAACCTCATGTAAAATTAGCAGAAGACCCTTACTGCAAGCCTAAATTTCCACCGTCTTTAGATTGGTACGAAATTACCAGAGGTCCTGACAGAGCTGGTGAATTATTGGCAACATTTGAACTGTTGGAAGTTACCAATTGCGGAAGTGAAAATGTTATATTACCTGCACTGCCTTCACCGAAACATAATGAGATGTTGTCTCATCTGGAAGATGTTTGTCATATTTTACCTGTTCCAAAAGGCATTCGTCCTACATTAGCCAAATACCGTATCGAAGTATTATTTTGGGGTCTTAGAGATTTAAAACGTATTCATTTACTAACCGTGGATAGACCACGTGTTGATATTGAATGTGCAGGTAATATTCTCAGCTCTTCTGTGATACAAAACGCTAAAAGAAATCCAAATTTCAGTAATCCTGTCAAATTTATGGAAATTGAGTTGCCAGAACAAGAATTATATAGACCTCCCCTGACTGTGCGCGTTGTGGATTGTAGAAGTTTTGGTAGATATACATTGGTTGGAACGCATATGATAAATTCTATTCATAAATATATGTATCAACCTATGTTAAGGCAAGAATCTTTAGAACGCAAAGAAGAAAATTCTGCTAAACACAACTCAATACTTTCAAATAATAGCACAAATGTAGTAAATTATAGTAATAGAGAAAATAGCCCCTTACTTCCTAGAAATACAACAATTTCCATAGGATATGGTACTAGTGAACAAGAACCCGTATCTAAACGAGAAATGAAATATCAATCAAGCAAAAAACGTCGTCAAAGTACACCTGATGCTGAAGCCAACGATGATGAGAGTAGTAAAGACTGGTGGACCAAATATTTTGCATCTTATGAAGCAATGATCGAAGAAACCAAGATGGCAAAGAAGAACCGAAATCTCCAGCAACCAAATGGATCTGTACAAACGTACTATAATGATTGGCATGAACCTCAAATTACAGCTACCAAAAGTGGTGCTCAAGAACCAGTAGAAGGTAAACGAAAACTTGGTCTAAAAGGAGCAGCCACTGCTGCTAAATTTGTCGCAAAATTAAGTCCAAGAAGTGTTAGAAGAAAACATAAAAATATGACTGCATTGTTTAAGGTAAGAAATATAACTAATTCTTTTTGTCACCATGTTGATTTAAAAAAAAAAACAAAAAATTACTATTTATCTATATTTTTAGATCTATCCGAATGAATTAGAAAATCAGCCCGAGTACAATGGATTTAAAGAATGGCTCTTGACATTTGATCTTTACCGTGGCAAGAAAACTGGTGATGATTCAGAAGATGAGAACAGAGTTGTTGGCACATTTAAAGTAAACTTATTTCACTAAGATTCTCCTAATTAGTCATTAATAAGATTCTGAAGCCAACCTTTTAATTCTGAATTAAAAACTTTTAATATTTTTCAGGGTGCTCTAAAAGCTTACAAATGGCCTTTACCTCGAGACGTAGTCGATCATACAGTAATGGGGTTTGACCCACAGTTTGGATTTTTTCAAGGATTACCTTCAAATGACCCTATCCATGTGCTTGTCCGTGTGTATATAGTCAAAGCTAATGATTTGCATCCTATGGATATGAATGGAAAAGCTGATCCATATATAGTTCTTCAATTAGGTTCAAAAAGATTAAGCGATAAGGATAATTACATATCAAAACAATTGAATCCAGTATTTGGAAAGTAAGCAATCCAACTTATGTTAAATAAGTAAAATAATTATATAAAAATTAAATTTTTCTAAAATATTTTTTTTGTGAAGATGTTTCGAAATTGAAGCAACTTTTCCTCAAGACTCCATGTTGACGGTTCAGATCTTAGACTGGGATTTGGTGGGATCGGATGAAATGATTGGAGAAACAAGGATTGATCTAGAAAATAGATTTTACAGTAGACATCATGCTACTTGCGGTATACCCAGGAAATATGAAGAGTGAGTAAAGTCTTAATAACCAAATCGTAAATGAACTAGTAGATATTGGTCTAATAAGAAACCTAATAATATATTTGATTAGCTGGTTGATAAATTTTGTTTTCCAGTACTGGTTATAATAGATGGCGAGATCCGATGAAACCAACACAGATTTTGGCTCGTCTCTGCAAAGAAGGCAAAATGGAACTTCCTGTTTACGGCCCTAACAGTGTACGTATTGGAAAACACACATTTACTCTATCCGCTGAAGACAATAATACTGTTCAACATCACGGAAAATCATTTGAGGAACATTTGGCATTGGCAGTTCTTCACAGATGGCAAGAATTTCCTAGAATAGGTTGTCAGGTAAGTGACGAAATTCGCTATAAAGTAAGTGCCTTTGTTATATTTATTATTCCAAATAGATGGTTCCAGAACATATAGAAACCAGAGCTTTGTACAATCCAGACAAACCTGGTATAGAACAAGGCAAGATAGAAATGTGGGTTGAAATGTTTCCAATGGATATGCCCTTGCCAGGACCTCCTGTGGATATTTCACCTAGAAAACCTCGTTCGTTTGAACTTCGAGTCATCATATGGAATACTGATGATGTTGTTTTAGAAGATGATGCTTTCTTTACTGGAGAAAAAATGTCAGATATATATGTTAAAGGGTAAATTGAAAATTACCAATAATCTAAAATGTTGAAGCAGTTTTGGTATTTTTGAAACTATGCAAAATTATTTTGTTTCCCAGGTGGCTTAAAGGACCAGAAGATTGCCAATGTACAGATATTCACTATCGTTCTTTAACTGGTGAAGGCAACTTCAACTGGAGATTTATTTATCCATTCGATTATCTTGTTGCTGAAGAGCGAATTGTAATAACTCGGAAAGAATCTGTGTTTTCATGGGACGAAACAGAAGTGAAGATTCCAGCAAGACTAGAGTTACAAGTATGGGATGCTGACCACTTCTCTGCAGATGATTTTTTAGGTAAAGACCAGTATACCTATCTTGTTTTGTTCCAAAACCAAAAGTATTTATCTCTTCATTCCAGGGGCTATAACATTAGATTTGAATAGATTTCCTCGTGGGGCCAAATCATCAAAATTATGCAGTTTAGACATGTTGGACAATGGAGATAATTCTGTACCTTTAGTAAATATTTTTAAACAAAGACGAATCAAGGGTTGGTGGCCCTTCTATGTTAAAAAGGAGAACGAGCAAATGGAATTGACTGGAAAAGTCGAGGCTGAATTTCATTTGCTTACAAAAGAAGAAGCTGAAAAGAACCCTGCTGGACATGGGCGAAATGAACCAGATCCACTTGACAAACCAAAGTAAGAGTAATAAAAACAGTGAGAAAAGTTCTCGAGCATATTTAAATTTCAAATGTTTTTTTCAGCCGACCAGATGCATCTTTTGTTTGGCTACTGAATCCTTTAAAATCTATACGATATATAGTTTGGCACAATTATAAATGGAAAATAGTTAAAGTTCTTGGTGTCTTGGCACTGGCTACAGTTATTTTACTATTTTTCTATGCTGTTCCTGGATATACTGTTAAGAAAATGATCGGTGCTTAGTTCTTTGTAAATAATATTAAATTTTTGAAACCTTTTGTAGATATAGTTTTAAATAAATGAGATGATATTATCCGAGATGAATCATAAAATCAAGAACAATTATATATTACTTACAATCAATGCACATTTTACTTATATACATGTGTGTGTTTGTGTGTATATAAATATGTACATTTTTGCTAATATATTAAGTTAAATAATTATGTTTATATAAATCTTTATATAAGAATAGATTCAAAAATATCTATCACATAAAGTATAAAATTGTAACTGGTTTTACAACAGTTTGTTGATTACTTTAAATTACTTTAATCTTAATAAAATGGATTATTTAAATTTGCTTAACTCTTATTTCTTTTGTATGAAGATATGTTTTTGCAAATCAATGTAGACTATTTAAAACATCAATGTAAAAAGACAATGCAAAATCTTTCAACGGAGCCATTATTTTGTATTACATATTACATACTGAAAAGGTATTAATTATTGGTTCTCTTCTTGATGTGTAAAAACAAACCCCTTTTAAGAATAAATGGGTTTTATTTTAATTTATTACTTACATAATTGAATATTGATATTTTGGTCTGTATTTGTTGGTGGTTCAATCATGACTGACTCTCCTGCTTAACCTTAACCAATAAGGGTCGAATATGAATAAGTTTTATATAAATGCTGGATTTGGTATCAGCTTACAACATAAAATTACAAACTCATCTTAATGAAGATGTGATGAACATAAAATATTATAATAAATACATAATAATTCTTAACGTGCAAAATCATGATGGTACACATAAAAAATTATGGCTAAATGAAAAATCTGTTGATTTTAATTTTAAATGTGTAAAATTATTGACTTACTGTAAAATTATACAGCTCACTATTGTATTCGGAACTAAAGTTCACTTTATTGCCTAGTCAAAGTAGTGGATCTCTTCCATACATTATTTTGGTCGATGCATCTTGATCCACTAGACTGAATTCTAACTAATTCGAAGTACCATGAAACCTGAAAGTATATATTTATTTATTCATTTATTTTACAAGCCGTCTGTTTTATAGTGTTCTAGGAACAATATTAAGCTAGTTATGAAAATGGGGTTTTATAGTCCTCAAAATAAGCTTTAAAATAAGTATTTCTGCATGTAAAATGAGTGAGCTATCATGCAAATAAAAGACGCATACAATGTTTTTTTCATTTGAATCAAATATAATTATGAGTGCCATTTCCATCAAAATTAAAAATAATCGTATTCCATCTAGAATTAACTTGGTTTATGAGATCTTGATGGATTCTAGAAAATACCATAACTTTAGTAAAAACGATTTTCAAAAAACTCATGATTATTACTAATTAAACTTACTAATTGAATTGAATTTCTTACTATACAATATGTGTATACACAAACACAAATGTGTTTTACATCTAGACTACCTCAACAAACCTAAATAATCATTTGAAGTAATCGAACATAAGAGTAAAAGCCGCACTTAGTGCCAATAAACCTTGTACTATTTAAGGATACAATAAAAATTAGTTCGTTTTGAATTAATTCCATCTGTAGTATCTGTAGTTACTGACAGTGAGTAAAAACTGATCTAATTTAATATCATAAAATCTAAAATATCAAAAAATATCTCCGTCGGGGTAGGAAAAATATCTCCGTCGGGGTAGGGAGGGGTATATCATGTGTATTTATTTTACACCAATTTTTACACGAAGCGGATCATATCCGACTGGAGTCATATCCGAGCGGAGTCATATCCGAGCCGAGTCATATCCCGATGGAGTTATATCCGGACGGAATCATATCCGGACGGAGACATATCCGGGTGGAGTTATATCCCAGCGGAGTCATCACCGGGCGGAGTTATATCCGAGCGGAGTCATATCCGACCGGAGTTATATCCGGCTGGAGTCATATCCGAGCGGAGTCATATCCGACCGGAGTCATATCCGAGCCGAGTCATATCCCGATGGAGTTATATCCGGACGGAATCATATCCGGACGGAGACATATCCGGGTGGAGTTATATCCCAGCGGAGTCATCACCGGGCGGAGTTATATCCGAGCGGAGTCATATCCGACCGGAGTTATATCCGGCTGGAGTCATATCCGGCTAGAGTCATATCCGGGCGGAGTCATATCCGACCGGAGTCATATACGGGTGGAGTCATATCCGGCTGGAGTCATATCCGACCGGAGTCATATCTGGCTGGAGTAATATCCGAGCGAAGTAATATCCGACCGGAGTCATATGCGACCGGAGTCATATCCGACCGGAGTCATATCCGACGGGAGTCATATTCGGCTGGAGTCATATCCGACCGGAGTCATATCCGACCGAAGTCATATCCGAGCGGAGTCATATCCGGCTGGAGTCATATCCGACCGGAGTTATATCCGGCTGGAGTCATATCCGGCTAGAGTCATATCCGGGCGGAGTCATATCCGGCTGGAGTCATATCCGACCGGAGTCATATACGGGTAGAGTCATATCCGC